CACAACTATGTTACGCAATGAATGGCATTAAAGGAATCTTTCATCAAGCTGCTTTAATGCAGATCGGTTCTTAACTCTTGGAACATGTATTTCCTTTTCTGCATCTTTGATTGTTACAGGCCTGGAGTATTTTTAGCTCCTTTTATATTTAGAGTAGCCTAGTACCTATTTAAACTTGGCAATAAGTTTTTGAGTCTGCATTAGTTTTGTGAAGTCAGTTTCTATTTCAGCAGTGGTTATGCTTCAGTTACTTAGAAAATAAAGTCAAACAGAACCCTTGCATTTCAGTTTAACCTGGAGCTTGGTCATGTTCACAGACTGATTCAAGTATTAAACTTGTTGCCTGCTGTCTGTAAACATCAGAAAGCAGACTCTTGACATTGTAACTTAGAATTAAAGTTAAGTTGAAAGTAACTTACAGTGATGATGTTGAGATTTTCAGGTAAGCAGGAGCTACTTAAGGGAGAGCTCACAATGACTGTGGTTTTGACAAATGTTGACAAGCATTTTTGCTTAGCCCAGGTTGAGCCAGAATTTGAATCCGGTGCAGTAAGGTCACAGTCTCCTTAGTGCAGCATGCCAGGCAGTGAGCTGCTGAGGTGACAGCTTGCTTTCTTAGACCTAGAGGTGGAAAACCTTTGCTTTTCCTCTGCTAGGCAGGGTTTCCTCATGAGCTCACCTGTACGTAGCAGTTAAGTAGTGGGGAAGAGCAGTAGTGTGTCTCTGCAGAGGGCGAAGGCTTTTGTTCTTGTGGGAGTGGGGAAGTGTTACAATTTTTTAAGAGTAGGATATTGAAAATGTTTTAACAAAAACTCTGCTCTGCATCCCATTAGTAGGCCTGTGTGTAGAGCATAGCTCAGCCTTAGCATGAAAGGCGTCTACGTTGCTGCAGACTCGTTCTGTGCTCTGGAGGATGGGTTTTGCACCACATGTAGAACTAGATTGTCACTGGCAGAATTGTTTTCACCCTTTGATTTATAACACTCCCGTTAGACTAATTTGCTTAATTTCAATTATTCATACCCCAATTTGATCAGAAATAAACCTTTTCAAAGGTAAACATGTGTATCTTTGCTCAGGAGGTGCTTCCAAGAGTTAAGAATTCTGGTTTGTGGGTAGGTTTTTCTACAGTGGCTGCTATTGAAAATAGCTGTAAATAGAGATGTAAAGATGTAAAGTCAACAAAGCTTTGGTCCCTATGCTGCATTTCTACAGAAGTTTATTTGCTGCCTAAACCTGTGTCTTAATCTAAAAGCAAACAGTACTTCCAAGAAGTGAAGATGTATTTCCCCAAAAGGGGCCCAGGTTGATGCAGATGTGATAAGTGTTTTGTTATTATAGAACCCTGAAATTAAACACAGCATCTTAACTTTGATATCATTTAAATATTTAAGGTGGGAAGGGGAACGCTAATGTCTTTCAAGCATTGGTTGTGTGATGTACTGACTTGCTGTCTTTGGTTCCTGTGTTCAAGACATCAGTGTGTTTTCATAGACTGCACCGCAGTGGAATATTCACTTATGTATCGGTCTGTGGTCTCTGATGGGTGTTTATATCTTAAACTGTGGAGCATGAAAGATCTTGAGTCTCTCTGAAATTCAGGTATCTGATGGATGGTTCTTTTTCTGCTGTGGGTGCTACAGGTTGACATCTCTGTCTAAGATTAGCTTTTTCCTGAACTAAAGTAATCCAAGTATCTCCGTAGAAGAAAAATGGCCTTCATGTAGAAGATAATATTGCAAGATTGGAAACAGAATAATATGTTAAATAACTGGCAAAGACTTGAAGAACAACGGTGCCAGTGTGCTGAGATCTTAGAACTTGTGCTTAAACAAGTTTGAAAATAGTATGGAAATTTTAAAATTTCAGTATAATCCATAATGGATTGAAATTTGTTAAAAATATTTCCATTTTGTATCAGAATAAAGTGTATGTTGTCAAGTGACTCACATCTAAAATGCGTTACCATCACCTTTTTTTTAGTGCTGTGTAGAACACAAAGCGGTCCTAACTCACTGCAACACACCGAGTTACAGGATCAGCTTTCCAGCTTGGGACTGGGGGTTCAGCCCCACTCCTCAGCTTTGCTTTTAATGGTTGTAAAACTGAATGTTCTGATCAGGAAGTGGCCTCCACATGGAGAGTTGTTGGCGTACAAGGTCAGCATCGGGATGTGTTAGACTTGGCAATGTCTCAGTTGCTCTCGGCTTCGGGAACATATTCTGTACCTCGGTAATAACAATAAAATGAAGGATTTAGTTTGCAATTGGATGGTTTTGCATATACCAAACTAATGTGGAATATTTATTTCCTTACTGATGCTGAGTGTTCTGATGCAAGTACAACATTCACTGTTGTTGGTGATACAAAAAATACTGGTTTAAACTGAGTGTGAGTTGCGGTGTGAGTTACTTCAGACTGATTGTCTGCCCGGTGGAATCTGAACAAGGCTGCTGCATTAACTGTAGGGTTTTTGCCATTTCTCTTTTCATCCTGGTAATGGAATAAATATCCCTGTATTAGGTTTTCAGTATGTGGTTAGTACATGTACAGCACCCCCTGCAAAAGCTGTTTCTAAGGGTGCTGTTTGCCCTTGGCTTTCGCATTAGCCTAAAATGAGGAAGAAACAGAAGTGGAGGGCAGGGAGTTACTGAGGTCTCTGTTTTATACCCCATTTGTAGTTAAAGAATTTATATTGCAGCTAGAGAGAACATCTCAGATTACAGGCATTTGAGAGCCTGGTTAATGGCGGGGGGAACTCAGGAGCTCTTCAGGTTCTCTGTGCTTTGCTAAATCAAATCTGATCCCTGGGATTTTACCTGCTGGTATTGACTATCTGCTCTCAACAGAGACATGCCCTTGCATTCTGAGCAGGTGCAGGGGGATGGACTGACACACAGGTAACAAGCAGGTCAGTATAAACAAGGTAAGTGGCCTCACAGTGCAAGTGGCGTCACCTGGCTTTACATTTCCCAGTGTCTTCTGCAAAACTGCAACTGTTAGTACTTGATGTCAGGGCTCGAACACCTGAATGGTGCCAAAGACTTTCTTCTGGTACGGGCACTTGGCCACTACACTTGCCTTTTAAAGAAGAGACAGTCAATGGGATCGTGGTTCCTGGCATTATGCTGCCCTGAAGCAAGAACTCCCTTCTTGGTGCTTGGCTTTCCTCCCCCTGCTCTTCTCTGGTTAGCTGTGGTGGTGCTGCAGATGAAGTGCAAGAGAGAGGCTTCTGCTATTCAGAATTGGTGAATGAGTTAACAGGAAGATGAATGGCAAGTGACAAAGATTGGAAATGAGTATTATTTGAGGGTAATGAAAAGACAATGTGTAGTGGATACACAGATAACTACTGTGACCAGCTGGACAATAAAATAGCACTTAAAATTCTGTGTATCGAGGGAAAACCAAACCAGGTACCCAACAATCAGGTTGCAAAGGAGTTGATGCTATTCAGGTGAAAGGGCCTGAGGTGTCATATGAAAGCAACAAACAGCACAGAGCAGTTGAGAACAAGAGACCTTCCACAGCATCCTCCTGTGACAGTCACATCACCACAGTGTTCTGTATGTCACTCAGGAAGTCCCTAAAAAGTAAGATAGTGTGGAACTGGGATTATGTTAGTTAAAAGTGTTTCTTGGGCTTTCATGGCCAGCCATGCAATGAGATGTTTTCTGCTGCATGTGCAACTCCAGTAAAGTAATTTGAGAAATAAAAATCTCAAGCCTGAATTCACCAGCAACTGTATCAGTTTGTTTAGCACTACCCTAACATTGTGAATAATGAGCTAATAATGCAAGGCTGGTTTCCTGATCTTAATGTCCCTCTAAACCATTTTTCCTTCAACACTGTGGATCCCACTCTGCCATTTTCCTTCTTAAAAGAAATAAATACCAAAAGGTGTTGCAAAACAACTTGGTGTTTATTATACTAAATGAAGTTATGCATAGCATTGTCATAGACAAAAGATCCTGAAAATCATATAAAGCATCAGTGACAAAGAAAAACCTCAGTTGAAACATGGCTTTTGTAAGCTTCAAAGGGAAGATGAAGGAGGATGATGCGGTTTTTAAAGTTCAGATCTACATGTGGATTTCAAATTTTGAATGCATTTCCTGCATTCAAAAAATCCCCAATGATCAAGTACGAGTCCATGCAAAGAGCAAACCAAACAATGCTAGTGGGTCACCCGACTGTTACTCTCTTAGAGATCATAATTTAAGCTCCACGCTGCTTTCCCATTGCCTGAGCACAGGCTGCAGGCAGTGCGGGTGGCTGGCTGCCGGTGCGCCTTTTTCCACGGGCTCCGAAGCAATAGCATCCGTCAGAGCCACATAGTGCACATCCGGAACGGTTACTCAAAAGTATGTGGAATCTTTAGCTGGAAAAACACATAATGCTGATTGATAGTGACTGAATTAACAGGTTTTAAATGCCTTTGGAGGAAAGATCGCATCGTGAATTTAGGTAGTGTTCAAAGGGCAAAACACAAATGTCATAAACCTAGCAGATACTCAAACCTCTGTGTCACAAAATCCTTCAAAACAGCAGTTAGAACTATGCTGCACAAGGCATTAGTAATGCTGACAGTGCTGTGCAATACATCTCTCTGGTTATTAAGAATATTTGTTACATGAAGACTTACACCTTAGAAAACTAGGGAGGAGTTCCCTTCTTCAGGGGAATAAATGTGCATGGAGTTAAAAAAAAGGTTTAATGAACTGATAAATCAAAATCAAACTTTAAGTATCAACTTTTATAGTAAATTAAAATCATATATTAAATATTCAGCAAGTATAAATGTGTAAGAAAAATGGGAAACAAACCCTATTGTGTATTTATAAAAAAGGATCAGAAGCCATGCTGTTTGTCTTACCAGAAATTATATTTAGAAGGCTAAAATAATTTTTATATATATATCTCAAATAGATCTATGAATATAACAAGAGATAGGAACAGTATATAAATATGGTATCTTTAAATATTTACATGTATATGGAAACTAGTCAAAGTGGTGCTATAAGAAGAAAACATCTGTTATAAAAGTGAGATTACAAATTTTGCATACCTCCAATTGCATTACACTATTAGTTTTAAACCTGCATCTTCCATAAACTAATCATTAACTTTTAAATCATCATTGCATAGAATTACTTGAAAAACACTACCGAACTCTGCGTTCCACCTCACGGTAAAGACTATCAGGAGGATGGTACAAAAATAACAGCTCTGAGAGCAGTAGCCAGCTGTGCTGCCCTTCAGAGTTTAGTCTCTGACTTCTTGCCCTTGGGAACAAGGAAGACATTGCCATCCCTGGTTTGCTGCAGAGAATATTCATTAGGAGAGTAAGACTTGCCATCTTCATCACGTAGCATGCTGAAGACCTCAAGGTATAAGGTGGTCAGTTGCTTTTTCATTTGACGAAGGCTCTTGTCGTGCTCTCCTTTCTCCTTAAGCAATTTCTCTTTCTCATCCTTCAGGTTACTCAAGTCTTGCTCCAGTCCCACTATATTTTCCAGTTTTCTTTTTCGGCAGTTCTGAGCAGCCACTTTGTTCTTGCCTCTCCTGCGTATATCTCGGATAAGCGCAAGCTGGGCTTCACTGAACTGCTCCTTAGACATCATTTCATTGAAGTCATCAACGGGGAGGTTGATGATTTTTTCAACAGGAAAAGGGATCTGCAGAGCCTTAGCTCTTTGCTCATCTCGTGTGAGATGAGCTTCGAAGCGGCTTGAAGGTTTATCTTTTGTGAAGGGAGCTTTGGGGTGGCCGGGGCTGGCAGGGGGTTCTTTCTTTGGCGTGTTTGTACACTGCAAACTTGGTGTTTGAGTGCTTGGCCCCACGGAAGAGAACACTTGATCCTGGAACTGCAGTGAGTACACATTAGTGTTGCTCTGTGGCACGCTTCCCGGACTGCTATCCATGTCTTCCATTTCAGAGTCACTATAGCCAAAAGTCTTATCTCTGTAGGCAGACGATTCCACAGAGTGGTCAGGCGAAGCTATACTAGAACTTGCATTCAATGAAATACCTGAGTCAGAATCATTGCATTCTGGTCCGGTTCCTGAGTGGTTGCTGTTAAAAGCTTTACACAGTGAGAAATCAGAAAGATCAATAGGTTTGCTTAGAATCTCTGCAAGTGATTGACTGATAGTGTTTGTCGCTGCTGCGTCACCGTTCGCCTTTGTGTCAATAAAGGTGGTGTAGAAATCCTCACAGAAATCAGAGTTTGAGGGGGACATGTCATTTAAAGAGCTCATGCTCAGCTGGCTGGTGTCTTCTGGTGGTAAAATGCCAGAAAAGGGGCCCTCAATATTATCCAGGAACTCTGGACCACAGTTAGCATCCTTCCTCATGATGGGTAATGAGCTGTAGTAATTGTAGCTGTTGTGCATCTCTGTTGACTTGGTTTCAGGGCTTGCGATTGTGCTTACATCAGCCAGAATATCATTATCAATGTTAAGACACTGCATGGGAAACGCAAAAGAGAAGTTCAGCAACACATCTCCAATCAATAAAACCTTTTTCTATAAGCTACAAACATTAAATATTTCAGGAGTCAACATGCACTTAACATGGGTCTTACAACACTGCTGTAACCTAGGTGACTACAACACACTTTTACTAAGGGGAGGCTTTCTAGGAAGAAGATTAGATACCTAAGCAAGAGCATGAAACAATGCATTCTGGACAAAGCCAGTTAGATTCAGAGAGCAGAGTCTCTCAAACTCCTGATGAGATGCTTAAGAGACCCATGCCAACAACACTACATGGAAGCTGCATGGAGCCCTCCTGCTCTGGTAAAACTGCTCGCGGGGATCCTGGAGCTGCTGGGTCTGAACATCTCACAAGTGCCTCTGCTGGGAATGGCATGAGTATAGTAAATGTAAAGTTACTTAATGAGCATTTCTAGCAAACAATTACTTTTAGTACTCCTGATTTCATGCTATGTGATAGATTTCCTCGAAAACCAAGGTTCTTTTAGGATGTACTGAAAGAGACAGCTGCTCAGTGGAGAGAAATGTAATTCTCGGTAAAGACAGCACTAACATGAAGCCTTGCAACCATTAACTCACCATTTTGTTAAGCTGGCTCACATCAGTGTGAGCACCCAAGACTTACAGTGATGGGCTTCCACTGGCTACAAGACCCATGCTCTTTCCAATGGGGTGGCAGTTTCTGCACTGAAGCTGACATGAGCAGGCCCGCTGTCCCCAAAGAATTAGGCCAAAATGATTCTGTTTCTCTTAAGAAGGGACCATACACTGGATATTTAACCAGAGATTGTCCAAGGCTTAAGCTAAAGTTTTGAATGTGAGAGCTCTTTTTCTCTTAATCCCTCTTTTCTTCAAGCATAATTTGTGAAAGGTGATGCTCTCAATTGACCTATCTCACTGCTTTCAGAAGATTATTCCATCACTACTCAGCATTACTGCAACAGATGAAGTTTGGTTAGGTCTCTTACTGCAGTTTCAGCATTGCTGCTGCCCCTCCACAGCCAACTGCCCTTGTTACTTATGTGGGGCTTTTAAACCTAACAGTGGGGTAAGATTAGGGAACTAAGGACATTTTGAAAGATACAAGAAGACGAAGGAAAATGCAGAGAGGCCCAAAAACACTCGCTTCCGGCAAACACTTTTCTTCAGTGTTTTCAATTTACAGGCATTCTACCGAGCATTCAGCTCTTGTGTTAACAGCATAAAGTAGAGCTGCATCATGCCAAAGCATGATGATGTTCTACGGTAACATTACTCAATGTTATAGTCAAATCTAAGGAAAATATAAATAGAAACATAAGGATAGGAGAAAAGAAAAAAACCCAGCCCCAAACCCTGGATGTCCTCCGTAATGCACAGTTCAGGATCACAGCAAAGTGACTCCTTTGTTCCTTCGAAATATTCGGTTCATGTACATTACACAATTAGTTCTTACTGAACATATATAAGCAGTAGTTATGTAACTATAACCTAAATATACGTTATCATCATCTTTACAAAACCTTCTCTCTCCTCAGATAAAAGCTGAATGCAACTATAAATGATTCACGCAACCATACACTGAAAAAAACACCATTTACAATAACTCTCACGGAAGCAATTCCTGTTGCAGACACATAATTCAGAAGTGTCCATTTTTAAGCAGCTGAAATTTAAACCATGATCACACCGCAATGAGTTGCATGTGGAGACAAACAGTGATTTGCTAATCATGAGGAAGTTCTGATTGGGAAGACAGACCGTGTATTATTAAGGCCTTTGATAAACAACTGGTTTCCTTCCTCCTATGTGTTTTTCAATATATTATTAAAAAAATAAAGCTTAAATTGAGTTCCAGATATCCTACAGGTGTAGGATCCAACACACAGTGACTATGACTATCATGTTAAGATGCTATTTTACTGCCTTCTCCAAAATACAATACAAAACAGCACACTATTTTTTTCAGGTGCTTATCATACTAAACCTTTACCTGTAACTCTGTAAGGGACAATAATTCTTCCCAAACTTGGTCTATGTTCTGCATGTTTTCCACATCAGTAAGTGGATCTAGAGCAGGTGATTCTGGTGGCTGAGTTTCATCAGAAGAAATCAAGGCTGGGTTGCGATCGATCTGAGCAGGAACCAGTGACTGAAATGCAGCTGAAGAAGCCTGGAGTGTTTAGAACAAAAATAAAAAAATCCAAATTAACTCCCCCAAACAACACAGTAAAAAGCCCCACTCAGAAACCAACTTTGTATTACACATCAGTCTGGGTCAGCACATTGTAACAGAGCAACCCAAACACACTGACTCCAGAGGGCTGCAGGAAGCTCACTGTAACAAACTGACCACTGTTCCTTGCAGTAACTGGGAGGGTTGTCACCAGCTGGTGTTACACACCAAGTCCTGGCTGCAGGATTCGGTCAGCAGAAGGAACACAAGAGCACCACTCCACTTCCTCCAGACACAGCCTTAGTTCAAGCCCACTACACTGCTTTACTCCAGCTGGAGTCAGCTTGAGGACAAAACCCAAATCGTATCACAAGTCAGTATTATGCTGCAAACAAATCTTAGTAAAAGACATGAGACTGAGCCCCTAGAAGACCACCCGTGAAACCGCTGCATTGAGCATTTTTACCTCATTGTCATCTATAAATGGGAATGCTTCTGCCAAGAGCTGCATGCAGTCATCAAAGGACAAGGCCTCTGCTTCTGGTTTTGAACTCTGTGTGGTCTAAATAGGAAAGTTATGACAAAATGTTAACTGCATCTTTGCATAACTGAACAATCTTCCATCACAGCAACGAACGCAAATTCAGTTTAGATAACCACTAACATTATGTCTTCCTGTGAATGGAAAAAGGTTTGAACACGCTCACAAACACATATTAAGGGTTTACCTGTGAAAATCCGACTGGAGGCTCAGTATTTTCTGACTGAACGTGCTGAGCTGGCTGAACAGGAACAAATTCACCTGTCTCTTCGTCTAGCTCCAGCTGAGCCAGCAGGGCTTTCTCCTGCTCTTTTTGGAGCTGCTCTTGTCTTTCCTTTTCAAGTTTCTTCTGTTTCTCGAGTTCATACTCCTTCTGTCGTTGACTAAAATCAAAAACTTCACGCCCTGCCCCAAGGTCTATATCTTGCCTCCAAAGGATGTCAATCAAGTTCATGTCCTGTAACAGAAATGCTTTTTTAAGCAAAGGTCCTCCCCAGCAAAACTGGTTTAAAACAACAGCAAAGCTTTTAATTTCTGTATCAAACAGGTAGACTCGTGTAACTGAGGCTTATTCTCTTTATCCTACAGAATGACCTAAATAAAATATGGCTCTATACAACCTTTCTGAAGTGTGTGAACCAATGGTTTGGTTGCTGTGGCCCATATACAGGCTCACAGAAACCAGAAATGTATTACATTTGGTAAAGCAATGAATGAACCAGCCAGAGCATAAATATATTCTTCTTTCCTAAGTTCGCTCACAGAAAACATGAGGTTAAGGAATGAATTCTGCCGCATTAAGACAGCAATTTTTATCAGAAAAGAACAGAAAGTGAGAAGTTTGCCCATGTAAATTTATTTCAGATGATCTTATAAAACTGTAAAAGCTGACTAAAACCACAACAGGGGCTGCCTGAAGTTACTATTAATAGCACTGCTGCAATATGTACCTTAAAATATTTATGTTCGATCCTGGTATTAAATATTAATCAAAGATCAGCCGAACACAGGAAAAAAAAAAAAACAACTAGTTTCAAAGTCACCAAGTGACCTCATAACACCACAGCACTAAGCACAGTTATTAAGACTATTACTATGAAATTGTAATTTAAAGCTTAGTCTAAGTTGCCAATTTAAGTGCAGTTGGTTTGGAGCAGCCAAGTATAAAGCAGGGGTCACCAGGTCTCAGATACTGTTCATCAGTTGGCCCCTGGCTCACGACAGAGCCAATCATCAGACATCCAACAAAGACCTAGATTTCTTGGCAACTGGCTACCCCTTGTGCCTGTAATGCTTCAGAAGACCAATTCTGCTATTTAGGGAGAACAGACCAGTTAATAATAATATTTGATTTAGCTACAATTTCTTTTAATTTGTTGCATAAGGGTTTTTTTTCGGGGCAGAGCGGGGTCGGGGGGGAAGGTGATTAGTAGATTGTTTAGTAATTTATTGCATAAGGGTGGAAGGAGTTAATGAATTGTTTTGGGATTTCACTGTTCAAATACCCAATAGTTTTAAGTGCTGAAGGCTGGACTGTTTTCTTCTGCGAAGAACACCTAACATTCAAAAACCATCAATTTGGCTGTCAGCTGACACAGGATTTTAATACTCAGCAGCCACATTTGTCAGGTGGGTAAATGCCAACAATTTCTGGCTGCTGCCGCAGAGTTTTGACTTTATGGCATGTTTCATTAGTCTTAAAATTGCCCTTTAGTGGCCACAGTGTCGGGCATTCATCAGGCTGGCACAATACAAATGACACACTTAACACTACCTTTCATTTACACAGAACTTTACCAGTTCAGTCAGCAGTTCTGCACCCAAGATACATTTGTTTTGTCACCAAATGAAAATGTTCCCTTATTTCCGATGTGTATTTTCAAGCAGAGAAGCAAAGTAACCTGCACACCCAGTTCAAAACAATCACATACCTCTGTGCAACAGTTACAGCAAAAAGCTTTAGGGCAAGTCCCCAGTTGAACAAATCAATTCAGTATCCTCACTGCTTTGTTAAAAATTCTGTGCCATTCGCACCCATGTTTACACGTGGCATGAACTACTTCTTCCAACTGCTACAAAAAACCCTTACTTTTCTCTAAGATCAGGCAGTCACATAAAAGATCTGTGTGTAACACGATGCAGGCATTCCCAAATCTAAGGCAAACTTCACATATCTTGCTGGGAGAGACCAAACTCAGCTTTAATGGCCAGCAATGAAGAAGCTGAAATAATTACAGTGGCTGCCCAAGACAATGTTTGGTCTTTCCAGATTGGAAGGGTAAAACGAACTAATTAAGTTCTGCAGTAATTGGAGCTACTGCAATAAGGTAGAGCTTCATTAAGGGCCAGTAGTTTACCAGCTGCTCACTGTCTCCTTCTGCAGCAGATTCAGAACTGTTTCCTAGTCTCAGAGCATTTGCAATATGTTCTGGATGAAACTGCAGGATCTGGATTTAGGGCTCACTTTTGAATTATTCATTTACAAGGCACCATTAAAAACATGACTCAAAAGATGTATTTTTTGTGTGTATAACGCACGAGGCTGTGAATTAGCAGAGCTGTTTTCCTGCCTGAGTTGCAACATACAACAGAACAAAAATAGCAGAACTGGTGCTCAGTTTCAGTTTAAATCAGGAAAAATAAAAGTGATCGAGAAAAGAGATACAGATGGTATGGTATCTTTTCCTTAAGAAGAAGAAGCAGGTAGCATTAGTGCCCAGGCACCGCTAGTAAATCTTTCAGCCATGCTACTGGCTATATCCATCATCAAGGTAAGTAGCCTCGGGTGCTTCATGGGACAAGAGACCTCCAGAGACACCAGCTGGCCAAAAAACACCAATGCTGTGGCTATGCACCACCACCTCTGTGTGTGCAGCTATCAATTCGGCAAGCAGGATCAATATGCTCGCCTGGTTTTCAGGATTTTCAGGATCTTGGGCTGTTTTTTGAGAAATGACAGCACTGATTGGCTCCTGTCACCACCCTCCAAGGGACCATATTTCACCCAGTATCTTATCCCTGGCAAAGGGCTGAGCTTTGCTCAACAGCCCTGTGCTCTACCCCAGAGAGATGCTTGTTGGGAGCACCTTTGTTTTATTTAGTTGTTGTGCTGGTGGCACTTGACACCATAATGGTGTTTGGGTTTTGGGGTTTGTTTGTGGCTGGTTTGGTTTGGGTTTTTAATTATCATGATATAATTGAAAAAGAGCCCTCTTACTTTCAGTCAGAAAAGTTGTGTTTAAATGCAGCAATATTAGCCTTACATTTGAATAACAGTTCAAGTAATTACTCTTCACATGAATGGGTTGCATGGAGGAAGCGTTCTGTTCAACATGCTAGTATATGATATCATCAAGCAGCACACTGATTTAAATATTAACCTGCCACACACTTACCTGTAACTTCAGCCAATGCTACTAGTAACACTGTCCTTTTCTGGGCTTTACTCCAAAGCCCAGGTCAAAGTTAACAGAGCCAACACTGCCCAGTGACTAAATAAGGAGTGAATCACAACCCCAGCATGAGGTGATGGCAAAGAAATAAAAAATCAAATTACAGTCTAAAGCAAGCATTTTGCTATTTTGTTCCTTCAGCCTCCCCACAACCTTTCTCTCCATCTGCCTTGTTGAACCCCATCACATACGTACACAGAGGAATCCACACAGGCAGGTGCTCTATTTCAGGTTTATCACTGGAGCATTTTTCCCCTTCCACTGCGAAAGCATCATGGAAATAACTGCATTTGATGCCTGGAGTGTTCAACTAAAGTTATTGAAAGGTATTTTACTTCTTGCCTGTGCAATTGCTACCCTCCAATTTGTAGATGCCTCAACATGACATGCTGCTCTAGGATTCATTTGGAGGGACTAGCAAGCACAGGCTGGTACCTGAGCTGGGGCACATGCACTGAGAGTCCTGCGACAGGCTCATCTGACCGAGGGCTCGCTCCTGCCCTTTGGAACCCCGCTAACCACTTCCCTTAACATCAGACGTGTTTACTGTAAAGGCGCCAGCCTCATGTGACCGAGTCCACAAGCGCCCGTTTGTTCTTTCCTCCGTTGTGCAATGCCTTGTGTTGCATCAGAGGAAATGATGGCTCTGGCAGCACAGGAAGAGCCTCCCCTGCAGGAGGAAGGACCGTGCCCGTGAAGGACCGCAGCCGTGATGCTTCCCCCTTGCCTAGAGCTCAGCTCTTTCCCACTCAACACCAACGCCTATTTTGAGAGGAAATACCTTACGGTATTTAATGTATCACCATCGCCCAACACTTTAAGCTTCTGGGAAAGTAAATACAGTTTAAATATTCCTCCCAAGCAGAGAAGCAGTGATTTGGTTTTGCTGATAATGTTTTCTTCACAATTTTGTAAACAGAGGAAGATCTTCTCTCCACAGAGGACACGCTTTGCTTTCCCATGATGCATGTAAGCAGGACGTGCCTTGCACTCGTGGGTTGACTTTTTTGTTCATTTAGTGATATGCTCTTCCAACCACATTGATGGCTTAGTATGGACATATAAAGGCACTTTTAATAAGATAAACATAAATGTTAAACAATTCACATTACGGCACCATCTGGCCCCCAATGGAAATTTTCATGTTTAGATTTACATATCAGCATTTGCCATCTGGGCAGAGTCTGTTATACATTTTATGAGAAAATCTCTGACTACATTGTAAAGTTTGACAATTAACTCTTATTGCTTCTAAGCAAACATATTTGCAGTATAGTAAACAAAGGAAAGAGACTCTGGTTTTCATATTATTCTCACAGAGTGACTTTTGGGCTTCAAACAAAATGCCAATCTTTCATTTCATCCCTGTTTGGGTTATCTGACTGGTTTTGGTTTTGTTTGGAAGACATTTACAGGTAGCACTGGTAAAGTGGAAACATCCAGCAACCCAAGTGTCAGCAGAGAAACAATCTGCTATCTCAGCCAGTGCTTTCAGCCCATTATTAGCTATCCCTTAACACAGAGCACATCGTGGGCTTTGCGCATTTACTTCGTGAAAGTCATGCCTTTTGCAACATAAATTGGGATAGCTCTAGCGGAATCTCTCACCAGACAAAGATTCGGGTTTATTTCCCATCGTCCTTTAGCACCTAACTCCAAGCAGACAGATTCACATGCCAACACGAATAAATGAAAAAGCAACAGAATCAACGCCCATTGCATCCAGCAGGATGCTCTCACCAGCACCCCACAAGAAGCAGGAGAAAACTCGCATAGCTTAAGCACAGAAAGAGAGATGACAAAGTATCCCTCAATTCCTATTTGTTTTCCAGAAAGTGAAAGGAATGAACAAAAAACCTTTACATTTTTACTTTATCCAAACCGAAAAAAAAACCCAAACCACCACAACCAAAACACATGGGAAGTGAGGAACAAGGACCTGAGGTAATCCAAGGCAAGAATGAAAGGGATCAAGTAACAAAGTGCATGCAAGAGAAGGAGC